AATATGACTAATGGTGCCTATCACCTTGTTGTTGCCTGACTAGAAGGACATGTGCAAATATCTTGCATTGGGGTTGCTGTTATTGTCTGTTATAGCTAGAGTGTTTTTGTATGAAATTCTGCACACTCCAGGGGTTATAGGTAAAGGTAAGGTAAAGGACCCCTGGATGGTTAAGTCCAGTCAAATGTGACTATGGGGTTGCGACGCTCATCTCGCTTTTCAGACTGAGGGAGCTGGCATTTATCCACAGACAGCTTTCTGGGTCATATGGCCAGCAGAACTAAACTGCTTCTGGCACAACAGGACACCGTGACGGAAGCCAGAGCAGACAGAAATGCCATTTACCTTCCCATTGCAGAGGTACCTATTTATCTACTTGCACTGGCGTGCTTTCGAACTGCTAGGTTAGCAGGAGCTGGGACAGAGCAACGGGAGCTCACCCCGTCGTGGGGATTCGAACCACCAACCTTCTGATTGGCAAGCCCAAGAGGCTCAGTGGTTTAGACTGGGTGCTGATGGCTGGTATTAGATATTATGGCTTTGTACCAAGGTGTTTAAGGTGGAAAACGTTTCTCCTTTAAGCTACACCAACTCACTGCTTAACTTGGTTGGTACTATATTGTGGAGCATATTGAGAGGACTATAGCTTTGGAAGGGACCACAGCTCAGTTGCAGAGTGTTTGCATTTTGTACCAAAGGTCCCAGGTTCAGTCCCTGCCATCGCCAGTTAAAAAGAAGAAGAAAAATATCAGGTAGCATGTGATGGGGAAATACCCTTTGCCCAAGACCCTGGAGAGCCACTTCCAATTAGAATTGACAATACTGGGCTGCATGGACAAACAGCTTTCTATGTGCAGAATCCCCAGTGTCACATTGCATTCCGTCTTCTGCCAAAGGAACGGACAGTAAATGACATTAGCCTGGGTGACATGACAGCAACTTCGTGTGCTGGCTGACATAATATTTAGTGTGCTTGGTGCTAATATTATGTGACATGGATTTTGGGGCTTGCTCACATTATATTCAGGGGAAAATATGATAAAATTTCCCTGTGGTGATTTTGTGCGTGTGTGTGCATGTGTGTGTGTGAGGTCACCTTGGTTAAAGTACTTCTGAGCCTGGAGATAATATAGCTCAGTTAGTAGAGCAATAGACTCTTATTCTCAGGTTTCACACCTCACATATGGCAAAATATTCCTTCGTTGCAGGGGGTTTGACTAGATAACCATCGGGTCCCTTCCAACTCAACAGTTCTACGATTCTACGATTCTTACTGCAGAAAAGTCTAATTTGAAAGTGGAATTCCTGATGTTCTACATAAAGTAGTCTGCCCTGTGGAAAAAAATATCATGGGACTAAGGTTGGTGTTGTATGTTCTGAGAGAATGAATACCTGCTCACCCCTTCCCAACAGGCGGGCAGAGTTTGAGGCCCTGAGCGGAGCCACCTGGCCAGGTGCCACCCACCAGGAAACTGCGGGCTCAGCCCACCCCGTGGGGTTAAGAGGGATACCTTCAAAGGCCAAGGCCCGGTTGCCTACGTCTGAAATCTGAATTCAATAAAGTTGTGGCCAATTCGAACCCATACCTTGTTGTCTGGTCTCTTCCTTTGAAGGGGGGGAAGGGCCCCAAGGACAGGGTTAGCTCATGGACCCGCAAACAATAAAAGAGGGTGTATGGGTGTATTCTAGTTCTGAATTTTGTGTTTCTGCACATTACATAAGGAAGAGCTTGCACATCTCCCTGGAATGTATATTTAGGATGTATTTAGAATCAGTGTCCAGCCCGGACACTGAGGTCCAGCTCCAAGGGCCTTCTGGCGGTTCCCTCATTGCGAGAAGTGAGGTTACAGGGAACCAGACAGAGGGCCTTCTCAGTAGTGGCACCCACCCTGTGGAACACCCTCCCTTCAGATGTGAAGGAAATAAGCAGCTATCCTATCTTTAAAAGACATCTGAAGGCAGCCCTGTTCAGGGAAGTTTTTAATATTTAATGCTGTACTGTTTTTAACATTTGATTGGGAGCCGCCCAGAGTGGCTGGGGAAACTCAGCCAGATAGGTGGGGTATAAATAATAAATTATTATTATTATTATTATTATTATTATGTATTTAGAATTTCCCCATCTCACAATGCAGAATATAAGTTCCTTCTTTCCACCTTACACAGTTCAAAAAACAAAAGCCTGAAGTTGCCTTCAGTGATGTGGAGCCCTGACACAAGGCTTCAGGTGTGCTGATGCTCCATCTTTTGACTGTCACACACTAGTGTGGTTGTCTGCAGTGTAGAAGCCTATGTGTGAATACTGGGACACCAGCACAATCAGATGTCCCACCCAACTGTGTGGAAAGCGACATGGGAGCACTTGTTCACACACGGGCTCCTACATTGAAGATGATCGTGCAGATTATGGTCTGAAGGCACAGACCCACTTTGTTGAAGCTAAGCAGGTCAACTCTGGTTCCTCCTTTATATTTATTTCTGGTATTTAATCAATTCCTAGACCGCTACTTCTCAAAGCAATTGAAAATAAGAATAATCAAAACGTTAACGTAGGACAAAAATAGCACCATCTAAAGATATCAAAATATGGACCAATGCTAGCAAACGCTCACAGTTGGGAATGCCCAAACATAAATACAGGTTTTCCATAAACATCTAGGCCTAATTTACTGGGGGGGGAGCCTTGGCAAACAGGTAAGTCTTTGCTTGCATCACAATCCTTTCGGGCATGCTCCTGAGGGGAATCACAGCTTCTGAAATAGTAGCTAAGGAGACCCTCACAATGACCGCTCCCCGCTTAAAACGGGGGGCGCCCTTTGCGTGGACGCGCGCAGCCCCTAGATCTGGAGCGGCTCAAACAGCATAGGCTTGGTTTGCCTTCCCTCAGGTGGGATACCTGGAGGTCTCCGCCTACCTCAGTCAGTTGTCCAATCCCACCTGGGGAAGCGTTGCCAAGGAGACCAGGCCAGGTAGGGGAGGGATTACCTGCCCACACAATAGAGGGAGGATCTTACCTGGGAATCCTCACTTGGCTCCAGAGCTTCTCCCACCCTACCCACCCTCAGTTAATGTCTTATTTGCAGGTTAACTTTTCTTCACAGGTTTTGCAGGTTAACTTTCCTTCGCAGGTATGCGGGCGCTGCTACGTTAAGGTCGCTGTTAAAGGGCCGGAAAGGAATTTCCCTGCATTGGCAGGTTTCGCCTTTCCCGTAGCAAAACGTCACAACTTTGGCGGTATCAGGCCTTGGGTGGAATCCTTTAGTCCATCTTCCTCTTCGGCGCGACCAGGGTTCCCCGTTAAAGGGGTTTCTGAAGGGAGGCTTTGACCGTACGCCGAAAGGTCGTCATTGCTCTCCCCTGCGGTGGCTTAACAGGGGCAGCTATCTCTGCTTGAACATATGTTCTCCAGAGCCAGCCCATCCCCCACACACTCACTGGATAACCCTGAAGCTCCCTAGGTCCCCGGCTGGGGACTGAGGAGGGAGAACGCCCAATGCCTGAGCCAAGGTCTACCCACATTTGAAATTTAATAAAGTTGTGGCCAATTTAATCCCATAGCACGTTGTCATGAGTCATTATTCCACATGACGGGGGGACCGCGCGGGATCTGGGGACTCCGCCTGTCCACGCAAAGGTTTGAGGGCTGGTCAAAAACATGTCGTTGCCTGAGGCAAAGGTGGAAAATATCCTGTTAAGTGCTTAGATGTGTGGCTGCCTGGGAACCATATCTATGTTGCCTCCAGTTCCAGATTTTCACTACATCTCAGATCATGCAAACCTGAATCCAAGCCACTCTCTCCTGTTAAGTATAATGATTTAATTGACACAGAAATGGAAAATGTGTGTGTACTGCTGAAGACTTAACATGGGGAAATTCTATTACTAACATTGGGTCTCTCCCCCCCCCCCCAAAGTAGGTTTCTAAAGGACCCTGAACTGTCACTAGCTAATGTTATTTTACCTGCAGATTGTTTTCTGTTACTCTAAACTGTTGTAATCTTAGATCAGATGACAAAGGTATTGAGTTGCTAATTCACCATCTTGAAAGGGTGGTGGCTGTTAGATCCAACAAAACGAGGCGAGAGAGGGAGGCCCCTGGCCACACTGTGGTTAAATCGTCCGTGGCAACACCCGATACCAGTGCTGATTGGTCAGCGGGACCACTCTAGTCATGGCCCCGCCCAGCGCTGGTGACACAGCCACGGCGACACGAGGAAGGGGAGTCCATCTCTGCTCCCGTGCTGGATCACTGTTGGGTCCTGGATGCCTGGCCACAATGCCGTCCACTGGAAAAGGTGAGCCATCTTCTCTGAACACCACAGGGAACAGAAGATGTAAATGAAGTTCCAGGGAAATGGATGCTGTTAGAGAGAGAGACCTCTGATTCTAGGTCTGTTTGGATTATTTCATATTTTCTAAGATGCTGAGCCTGTGCTGGACAGAACAAGATATTGTATGGATTTTGGGGGAGTATCTTTGATGCTTATGTTTCGTTTTGAAGAGTTCTCCCAGTAAAAGTTTGAATAATATTTTTATGGGCCTGTACAATGTTTTCTTCCAAAAGGAGTCGTTCTTACGCTTCCAGTCACTTCAGACTGTACAATATTAATATCTGCAACATCTCCTACACGTAAAGCTAATCTATTCAATTGTCATAATTGTTTCAGTATTCTCTGACTGAGTCTTTGTAAAAGTGCCTTCTCAACAGTCATTATCGGTTGACCAAAGAGGTGTAAGAAAAATGTACTTTGAAGACAGGGAGGAATGTCGTGAACCCATATGTGATGTGCTGGTGGGATGCAAACACTTGTAACCTACATAAAATAACACAGGAGGTAAGCCCTATGCAAGAAATAACTCATTTTGTCCAAATAACATATCTGCAGTTGTCTGAAATCCCAGCTGATGGCTTGTGAAGCTTTCAAAAGGGTAACTGTTATTGGTTGATGAAAGCTGGAAAAAAAGATTAAGCAGAGATTTCCAAGGTCAACCTATTTCACATCCATTCAGATTTACTGTAGTTTTAAATGCTTTGTGCTTGGATACACAGAGGCAGGCACTGATGGCTAAGCTTTAAATATGGTACAGGATTAGAGAAAGCAATATCCTGTTCTGCAGCAGCTGTAATCAGGTCCTTGCCTGAAGTATGTGCTGTTTTTCGAGTGAAAATTGCACGAGGAATTCATTCTTCTCCCTAGAACAAGAAAGAATGAACACGATCTATTGCAAAGGAAATTCTGGCTGTTAAATGTTCATTACAAACTTCATTGTTCTTGAAGATTAACATTGCAATGTTTATGCTTCAAGTGCAGTGGCCATTTTACATAACAGAATGAAACCATGAAAAGATATCCACATAGAAGACCAATCACTTTTAAAGCTTATCTTACCCAACATTAATATACTTTCATGATTTCAAATATCTGCTCATGCAACTATCTGGACAGTTTAAATAACACGTGCATAAAGGCAAATCATAAATCACGCACCCCTGTGATCTAAATTGATGTCAAACTGAATACCAGCTGTACAGGACTTACACATTTCTGAATGTATATGCCATGTATCTTCAATGCTTTGTCCCTGAAATATGCTCATTCCATTTTTGTAAAGAATTTGTGCTTTGTGGAAGGTTTTGTAAACATGTTATGTAATATTATTGCCTCCGGGAATATTGACTAGGAAGGTGCTTTCAATGCTTTCATGTTTTGTATTTTTGTCATCACGCCATATAGTATAGTCCATAGAGTTAAAGCTATGGTTTTCCCAGTAGTGATGTATGGAAGTGAGAGCTGGACCATAAATAAGGCTGATCACCAAAGAATTGATGCTTTTGAATTATGGTGCTGGAGGAGACTCTTGAAAGTCCCATGGACTGCAAGAAGATCAAACGCATCCATTCTTAAGGAAATCAGCCCTGAGTGCTCACTGGAAGGACAGATCCTGAAGCTGAGGCTCCAATACTTTGGCCACCTCATGAGAAGAGAAGACTCCCTGGAAAAGACCCTGATGTTGGGAAAGATTGAGGGCACAAGGAGAAGGGGACAACAGAGGACGAGATGGTTGGACAGTGTTCTCGAAGCTACCAGCATGAGTCTGACCAAACTGCGGGAGGCAGTAGAAGACAGGAGTGCCTGGGGTGCTCTGGTCCATGGGGTCACGAAGAGTTGGACATGACTAAACGACTAAACAACAACAACAACAACATGCCCTAAAGTGGACATATGTCATCTCAATAGTTGAGGGGTGAGCTTCTGAATGGTACATGGAAGAATCTCTATAGTACAAATAGTAGCGAACTCTTGTCTTCCAGGGAATAAAGGCAAAGTGGTTGGAACAACCCTCTCTTCCTTCCAAGAAACTAACGTTGATGCCTGTAAGTTGTACACAGTGCTCCCCCCCCCCCCAGAAAAATAGGTGCCGGAACTTCACCATGAAGTCGTTACAGGTGAGTCCCTGGGTGACTTGGGGCAGCTCTGAACAGATACCTCTGGTTCTAGTGCAAGTCAAATAAATGTGCTCCGCTCCTCCCTCATTCTCTTAGATTCAGACAAATGGCTAGGATAGCTCAGAAGGACCCTTTGCATAAATGTGTGTGTGTGGGAAATGATATATAATGAATTGAAAAAGATGTTTTAAATAATGTTTCTTAAAATAAACAACAACCTGAAGCTTTCCTTTTGGGAATTACAGGGACAGAACTACCCAGACGGTATAGAAATTTATTCATGCATGCAACTACAGTGAGAATGTTACTTGCCCAAAAATGGAAAGAAGTCCCAGCAAAGAAAGAATGGATACATAAACTTATGGAATATGCAGAAATGGCGAAACTTACTGGAAAAATAAGAAATCAAGATAACAATTTTTTATAAACAAATGGAAATGGTTTATTGAATATTTAAATTGTAAACAGATAAGAACATTGGCAGGATTATTGTAATAACCTGCAGTTTTATAAGAGTATATCTATTAAAGTAGATGAATAAATTAGCAAATTAAGTTAATTTTGATATGCAGAAAATATAAAAAAATTTAAGGAGTTGCAGAAAGAGGGGGAACGAAGTTGATTATTGAAATGTTAAAATGATTGTAAAATTATTGAAATGTATAAAACTGAAAATCATGAATAAATAAAATATATAAACAACAATAGTAGAGGCCTGGCTGGAAAGCTTAAAGCCCACTGTATGACATGAAGTGAAAAGGGAAGAAGGAAAGAGTCAAGAGGTGGAAGGAAAGAGACAAGGCAGCTGTGCCAACGGTCACAACCTCAGCACCAGCAGAAAGAGGGTGGAGCGCACCTAAGGAGCAAATGAAGAGGTAAGTGGTCAGAACAGAGCCAATCTGGGAACTCACAGATTCTTTCTGGGAAGTGAGGAAGTCTGCCTCAGCAGCCTACTCTGGAGCCCGAGAAATATCTGCCTTACAGAAGGTCTTAGGACCAGCTTCAGTGTGGGAGAAGGGACCACAGGAACACAGCCTGATTTCAGACCCATCAGCAGATCCATAGTACCAGACCTTTTGCCAGAGGCCAAGCGGATGCTCGAAGGGATGCCCGAAGGAGTTGTCCAATCGCTCCGATTTCTTCCTCCATTGTGGCAACATTGGCATCCTGAAAGATGGAGGGAGGGAGGGAGGGAGGGCGCAAAAAGTGGCCTCAGAAAGATGGGCCATGGAAATAGAGGGAATTATAACTCCCTGCAGCATTGCACTCAGAGCAAGGATCTACTCACTGACATTGTGGTTTCTAGGAACCTACAGAGCCCTCTCTCCCTTGACCTACTTGCTTTAACCACTATGCCATCTAGTGAGGTAACCGGAGAGCTAGATACATTCAATCTCAAATAATTGACTGGCATTTTCTTTCTGATTCCAAGCATGGATGGTTGTGGGATGAACCTGCCATTTCATGGTGAGGAAATGGCACTCTAGGATGGTTTTCAGATTTGCCAATGAAGCCTTATTTCCAGTTCCATCACTACAATCTATCAAGATCAGGACTATTGGCCTATGAGTTAGTCCACATGTGTTCTTCTGTGATCTGTTTCTGGAAATTGGTGAAGAATCTTTGCTTCTGTATGTGGGAACTAGTTGGAGATTGCTACTGTTGCTTTTATATAGCTTCAAATTACTGTTTTGCACACTTTTTAACTGGAGTTATTTTATACCTGTGCAGTTAATATATATATATATATATATTTGCAACTAATCTTATCATCTTTGTATACCAAGGCAGCTTAGAAAGATTGTAAATAAATAAAAAATACATTTTAAAAGCTAAAAACGTGCAAGATGAAAATACTGTATTTGCACTGCAGATCATTAAGGAAAATATGCTAAGTTCTGATCTGGCTCCAAAAGATTTCTTTTTATTATATGTGACATAATTCTCTCCTCCATGAAATAGAATCCTTAATATAGAATTAGCTGATGCAGATAAAAGCTGTAAACTGATATACAGACCTTGGGGATTTGTTTTAATATTAAATCCACAGGGCATCCGGCTCCCTAACTGCACATGTCTTCCTAGAAGTAAATCCCATTCTGTTCAGTAAGGGCTTATTCCCTAGAAAGTGTGTTTAGGATTGTGGCCTAAGTCTTAGCTGCAGATGACATTTTCACAAGTAATATTTATTGGGGGGGTGGGAGTTATCTGGGATAGGAAGTAAATTTACAGTGGTGTGTTTAATCCTGTGCTTTTCTTTTGAAGAGAAGTAGCTGCCAAAACTCACCATGAAGTTGTTATAATAAGTCGCTGGGCGACTCGGGGCAGCGCTGAACAGATCCCAGTTTGACAACAGCTGTGGTCTGGCTAGAAAGCTTAAAGTCTGCTGCTGCTACACAGGAGACACAGTGAAGAAAAGGAAATATGAATTGGCCTTGCCTCATAGCTTGACCATTCGTGCTTGGTAAGGTAAAGGTAAAGGACCCCTGGTCAGCAGTTCAAATCCCCACGACGGGGTACACTCCCATTGCTCTGTCCCAGCTCCTGCCAACCTAGCAGTTCAGAAGCACGCCAGTGGGTTTGAGCCCCACATTTGGCAGAAGATCCCTGCATTGTAAGGGGTTGGGCTAGATGACCCTCATGGTCCCTCCCAAACATGATTCCCTGATTCTCTGATTCCATGAAACCAATATCCCCCCTCCCACGGGTTCCATCTAGTCATGAATATCTACCTTCCACACATCATATTCACGAACATGCAAACACCATTCTGTATCAACCACATTTGAAACCTCCCATGTACTCACACAAACATATACCAGCCGACATCCAAAAACATGACATCCATTCACGTTTGTGCCCGGGTTTCAGTCCACAAATATCCACTGGCTTCTGTTGACTGTCTTCCAAAGGTGAGCTTCCATCAGCTGACATCCGCAAACATCAGTCTGCTTTAGCCTTGTAGCCCCCACCTACTTCCAAATCCAAATGCCACTGGCTTCCATCCACCAACATCTGCCAGCTTCTTTTAGGTCCATCATGAGACATCCAACAGCTTCCAACCACGGATACCAGCAGCCTTCAAGCAAGCAAATTTGGCTTATTATTGCTCCTTAGCATCCCACTGCCAGAGGATCGCCTCCTTCCATTCACCACTTTGCCTCCTCCAAGTGGAAGAAACCCGGGCAGTGCTGAATGTCACATCCATTGCCAGGTGTGTCCTGCTGGAAATAGAAAAGGGCTTTCACCTTGGCCTGCCTTTATATCCACTCAGTTGCCAAGGGCTTTTGTGACATCACAAGAAACCCACAGCCAATGGCAACAGCTGGGGAGGCATTGTCTTCATTGCTTTGAGCCTCACAATGGCGGGGGGGGGGGGACCTATCAGTGATTGTATGCTTGTTTATTCAGGAAGCAGGTGGTGCTGTGGTCTAAACCTTTTGGGCTTCCCAATCAGAAGGTTGGTGGTTTGAATCCCTGCGACAGGGTGAGCTCCTGTTTGCTCTGCCCCAGCTCTTGCCAACCTAGCAGTTTGAAAGCACATCAGTGCAAGTAGATAAACAGGTACTGCTGTGGCGGGAAGGTAAATGGTGTTTCTGTGCACTCTGGTTTCTGTCACGGTGTTCTGTTGTGCCAGAAGCAGTTTAGTCCTGCTGGCCACATGACCCGGAAAGCTGTCTGTGGACAAACGCCGGCTTCCTTGGCCTGAAAGCGAGATGAGCACCACAACCCCAAAGTCAATTTCAACTAAACTTAACTGTCCAGGAGTCCTTTACATTTACATTTACTTTTACATATACTGTATTTTTCGCTCTATAACACGCACCCGACCATAACACGCACGTAGTTTTTAGAGGAGGAAAACAAGAAAAAAAATATTCTAAACGAAACAGTGGATGTATGATTTTTGTGGTTCATGCTGTGGCCACAGACATGTGATCTGACAGTGAGTTTGGAGTAGCCCAATGCAAAAATCCTGAGGATCCATGTGGATCCATGCTTTGTAACCACGTTTTAAGTGGGGAGGGAAGGAAAAGCACTCAAGGGACAAGGAGCACGTGTGGGGTGGGTGGAGAAGGATGCTGCTAATAATGAAGAAGAGGGGTATAAGGGGAGAAGGCTCCTCTCCTCTCCCGCTTTGCTCCTTTAAAGCAAGCCGGCTCTGCTTTTCTCCCTCCTCCCCGCTCATCCCCGGCTAAACGAGCTGAAAAACTTTGCTGCTATTTAGTGAGCTGAGTGGGGAGGAGAGAGGGACAGAGAGCCTGCTTGCTTTAAAGGAACCAACCGGACAGGAGCCGCTTATACTCGTGTAAGCGGCTCCTCTCCTCTCCCGCTTTGCTCCTTTAAAGAAGCAGGCTCTCTGTCCCTCTCTCCTCCCCACCCAGCGGCTCTTCTCCCGCTTTGCTGTTTCAAAACAAGCCACGGAGGAGGGAAGGAAGGGGAACCATGGATCCTCTGCTCACGACTGCAGCAGATCCCCCCCGCCACCCGTAGGCATTCCCTCCATAACACGCACAGACATTTCCCCTTACTTTCTAGGAGGAAAAAAGTGAGTGTTATGGTGCAAAAAATACGGTAGCTATAGAAGAACTTTATCTGCATTAGAAAAGCAGTGTCGCAAAGGCACCTGTATTGTTAGCTTGGTGGATGCCGCAGGGATTTTTTTCCTAAAAGTAACAGTTCCCCAATAGGAATAGGAGTATCTTTTAAAAATCAGTTCTGTAATTATTTCCCCTACCACACTGTAGCTGTCTTTAAACAGTGCATGCATAGAAGTGAAATACTCAGGTTCATCCATTTCCCTCATCCCACCTCTTTCTCCAGAGGTAACTCGTTTTTTACCACTGAATCGGAGCAAACATCAAGCGGGCTTTCTCTGGATTGACGTTTACTCTGATTTATTGCTAAAGAATAGGTTTTCCAGGGGGAAAGCGGCAGGGCAAGGGCAAAACTAGTCAGATTGGTGCCTAGAAAGTGTGGAACAAGTAGAAAACTGCTCCAACTCAAGTCTGGGTGAGCCCTTAGCCCAAACTTATTAAGCAATTTAGGCTGCAATTGCATACTTACTGACCTGGGACTAAAAGTCCCATTCTACTTAAATAGCGCCTCTAAAATATTGCATATATTGAAGAAGCAGCATCCGTAACAGATGAGAATTACTCATCATTCCTCAGACATCCAAATGGTGGCATGACAAAAATAACCCTTCCTTCTTTACAAGAACTGCACCACCTCCACATCTGACATTACATCCGAAAATACAAATGACACCTCCCGCTTTCAGCAACAGTACGTCTTCTCACTTTAAAAGACTGACTCGGTGTTTGTCCCCGAGTGATGTTTATTCTGAAACAGCCGTAGTATACCTTTGAAATGACAAATACAAATAGTATTCGGCATACGATCACAGGAGCACTTAAAAGCCTGACTGTCCTATGAGAAGGTGCCAAATCTCCCTGATCTCTTAGCTCTCCACATGGAGAAAAGTCTTGATACGGGGGTGCTTTCAAACAAGAACCCTAATAGTCCAACGGGGGAACATTATAAATATCTGAATCTGTAATCCACGCAAATATATTCCATTGTTGCAACGACGAGAGCAGCTTCCATTGCCTTTTTCCTACAACCTTGTTTGTAAAAACAAGCTCTATTTGTAAAAAGCCTTCTTATTCTGCACTTTCTCAACATCTTTCTCAGAATTGCAAAAGTTCCAACAACTTGGGAAGTGTTTTTTAAATCATTTGCTCATGACTCATGTTTGCTGTCATTACATTTAAGGAAGGGGGGGGTGGAGTATAATATCTTCATGCTTGCCTGCAAAGCCTCATCTCTCATTTCTGTGTTCTTCATCACTCAATCAAGTATCATTTTTAACATTTGTGCAAAAGGCTTATTTTTACAGCAACAGGCACATAAAGGAAGCAGTGGATTGTTCATCTTACATTTACTGTAGCTTCTTACCCTGTTCAAGATGCTCTTACTTGCCCCAAATGGGGAAAGGATGACAAAAGGTAAAGAGAAAAAGACTGGGCACTTTAATTACATTTTCAGATCTGCCAGTGTTACATCTTTGTCCCCCCTGCTTTGCATTTTGTTTTCATGGTAGTATCACTTGGAACCAGCTTGCTTCTGTGTGACACTAAATAGCACAGTTGCCAATGGTGCCCTTCAGTCCAAGCCAAGAATTCCTTTCGTGAACAATGAAGATAACTGCTTTTTAAGGCAACGTTCTAAACTGCATGTCACGAGGCAAAGAGAAATCTTGATAAATGCTCTTTCTTCCTCTTCTGTATGGAGATTAGATTCAGGCAAGGGAAAGTAAGGAGAGGGACAAGAGAAGAGCAAAACAGAAAAAACATTCTCCAAATTCTGAATACAATGGGAAGCCCGAAGCCCAAAGTAATTTCTTTCAAACGGTATTTTTAGAGTTCTCAGACAAATGCCACCCACATGCCTCTATGGATCCTGTAATCCTGTTAAAGTTAATTACAGCAATACAGTGAATTAAACAAGAAATGTAACTCTCTAGATTCTGAGATAGCTTTAAATAAGTACACTAATTAATTGCGTTTAAACAAATAAACATGAGGGGGAATGCTAATATAACTACACAAAACATGGCCTTCTAAAGCCATGACTATAGGGGAAGTGTTGTGGTTTAGAGGTAGAGTATCTGCTTTGCATACACAAGTTCCCACGCTCAATTCCTGGCATCTTCATGTAGTGTTTTGGGGAAAACGCTGCCTGAAATCTCAGAGACAGTCATGTGTAGACAGTCGTGAGCTAATGGACCGGCGGTCTGACTGGGAACAAGGCCGATTCCTAAGTTCCAGCTGTTGCCAGGCCATCTTCCATCAGGCCCAGCAAAAAAGTGAACTAATGTAAAAAAAAAAAAAAGTATGGAATTAGGGTGGATCTACACACAGGGAAAAACACTATGTCAGAAATTTAATTGTTATAACAAAAGAGGGGCAGAAACCTGCTATGTAAAATCACATAGAAAAGTTTATTACTCTACAGCGCCATGTGGTATTGCATGTTTATAATGCATTCGAAATGTTGTTTTTTGACCAATGGAGCTGAGTCCCTAGATGGACTAATTGTCTGACTCATTTTAAGGCAGTTCCTCATGTTTCAGATGTTGTTAGATTCCATATCCCATCAGGCCCAGCCACTGCGGTCAATGGTCAGGGATGAGGCCGTGTCAGAGCATGAGGGGGGACCAAGGGGGCGGCTGCCACAGGTGCAAAATTCTTAGGGGTGCAAAACTTCTACACAGCCTCAATACAGCTATGCGCTCCTGTAGCTGGGCTCTCTTGAAAACGGCTTCTTCATATGAACCAGAAAGTGACCTCTCCAGACAATGGAACAATTCTTCTTTTCTTATCTCTGCAGCTGCGCTCTCCTGGGTGATGCGGACGCCATTAGACAATTGAATGTGAATGTGTAATCTGTCTGTTTTTCCTCTCTCTGCCGAGCCCCCATTTAAATGATGCCATAGCAAAGGTCAAATATGTAAGTAAATGTGCGGGGAGGCCCTGAGGGAGAGATGATGGACGGTGGTCACACACACACGCCACTGTGCCTGAGGTCAACCGTGAGGCCTGTTAGGCAGAGCAGACCTGCCTCTAGGGCTGCTTCTTGGGTGGTGGAGAGGCGTCTCCCAGGCTGCTCTCTTAACACATTCTGAGGGGTACATGTAGCACATGGTCCACAGGTTAGGGGGAGCAATTCTTGCCTTGCCCTGGGCACTGGCTACCCACACTACACCACTGGGATGAAGGACATGTAGTACAACAACATTTGAGGATTATAGGGATGCAGGTGGTGCTGTGGTCTAAACCACTGAGCTTTGGGCTTGCCAATCAGAAGGTCAGCGGTTCGAATCCCCGTGATGGAGTGAGCTCCCATTTCTCTGTCCCAGTTCCTGCCAATTCAAGCAGTTCAAAAGCACGTCAGTGCAAGTAGATAAATAGGTACCGCTGCAGTGGGAAGGTAAATGGTGTTTCCGTGTGCTCAGGCTTCCGTCACGGTGTTCTGTTGCGCCAGAAGCGGTTGGTCATGCTGGTCACATGACCCAGAAAGCTGTCTGCAGACAAACACCAGCTCCCTTGGCCTGAAAGCAAGATGAGCGCCGCAACCCCATAGTTGCCTTTGACTGGACTTAACTGTCCAGGCAGAGACATCACCTTGCCAACAAAGGTCCGTATAGTTAAAGCCATGTTTTTCCCAGTAGTGATGTATGGAAGTGAGAGCTGGACCATCAAGAA